ATCAAAAAATCAGAATTGAGCATCAAGACCTGCAGAGTGAACGTAGCCTAAATGTAAGAGTTGCTTTTAACACTGAAGATCCCACAGACAGCAAACAGTAAACCTTTAAAGCTGAACGTCTGCACTTCAGCCACACGTGGCGTCAGCGCCAAACTGCAGCTCTTCTCTCTGCTGCACCAGAAACCCGAGCTCAGACATGTAAACAGACTCCTCCCCAAACAGGCTGTGCAGTAGAAATAAAACCAGACTTTTATTGTGGCACATCTACTGTACATGTAGAACATAAGTGACTTACAGCAGCACGTAGTGACTCGTATAAAAGGCTAAATGGAATGCTTTGTTCAGTAATACTGATTTGTACCATATAAGGAAGTCTATTACATCATCAGCACGCCGCCTCCAGCAGAGGTATGTCATCATCAGTCTGTCTGCAGGAAGTGTCCGGCTCATGGAGTCCGTGTGCGGCTCGGCGTGGAGCCCAGAGTACAAACGGGGGGGTCACGCCGTGCTTTTGGTGGGCAGCTCCGTGCTGTTGTGTCTCGTCTTGCGCGACGTGCCGTCGTCCCGCGGCCGCGCCTTCTGTAAGTTGGACATGGCAGCGGTGCGCTCGATGTCGATGAGGGCGTAGAGTTCGGTGCGGCGGGTGGGGGTGGTGGGGGGCAACGGCGAGGAGGGGGTGCGCGGCGTGTGGGGATTGCTCCCGTCGGAGGCGCCTTTGTTCCCGGCCCCGCCGTCCATCTCCACCTCGATGTAGTTGAGCGTCTTGGGCGGCTCGCTGTGGCCCGACACCAGCGGCCGGCGGAAGTCAAAGTTGAAGATGGTGGGCCCGTCAACGCGGCGGCGGGCCGTGTCGGGCCGATGGGCGCTGAGCGGCGCCGTGACGTTCTCTGTGTTGACGTAGTTGTGCGAGGACTCGAGCGCAGCGGACAACGGGTGGGAGTAGGAGTGGTGCAGGTGGTGGTGGGCGTGGTGGTTGTAGCCATTGAGCGACGGCGTTTTGGAGCCGCCGCAGCTCTTCTCCTCGTCCTCGGAGCTCGGCTTCCTCGCCTCCCACACGGGCGGAAGCGCTGGCAGGTTCTCATAGTCCAGCAGGGCCGTGCGCCGCTGGGCCGAGTTATTGACATTCTGCAGGTCGGGTGTGAGGGGGGGCGGGCGGTGGCGGCGAGGAGCCGACGAGCCGTTGGAGTGCGTGGCGGCGGGTTCGGGCTCGGTGGGCTTCTCGCCGTGGCCGTTAGTCTCTTGGTGCTCGGCGGCATCCTTCAGCTCCTTCTGCCGCCGCTCCATCAGCTGCCTCTGAACAGGCGTGGGGCCCAGCACGAAACGCACGCCTTGTGGCTCCAGCAACACCTGCGGCTCTGCTGGGGCGGGCGTCGGCGGCGGTGGCTCCCCGCGGACCCTCGGAGGGGGCGGAGGCGTCGGCGGACACTGAGACTGTGGAGAGGTCGGGCTCTCCAGCGGGGTGGTGACGGTCAGCGGGCTCGGCTGCTCCTCCAGGAGCCCCGTGGTGTTGACGTAGGTGTGTACCTGTGAACAGAAAGGTGAGACCCAGTTACCTACAGGTGCAGAAAGCTTCAGGAAACATCAGGAGCACGGAAACATCTGGAAACGATCACCTAAACCCTCGGACTGTCCAGCTGTGTCACATCTCTCATTTATTTAGATGACGAGCAGGTAAAGCTAACAGGTGAGAGGAGCGAGACACCTGTACAATCATCGGTGGTCCCCAGGTGATCTCTCAGGAGAGTTTTCAGGTAGCAGCTTCCTTCAGCTGGACTTTATGTTCTGCTAGTGAACATCAGACCTGTACCTGATCTAAAAACTGATAGGTCAGCACTGCAGGTTAAACTAAACCCTTTCTTCAGGTGTTTGAAGAGGTCTGAGGAACAGATTGATGTGGTCGACAGGTTTCTGATCGATTTCTGTACGTTACTGTGTTGAGGGGTCATTTCAGCCTATTGGTCAACATGATAACATCACAGTATCTAATAAAACCTTCAGGGCTTGAGGTGTACTTGTCAGGTTTAATGGGTCACTATATTGGTAGAAAGAGTTTACCAGCAGTCTGGGGCTTTTATTGTGAAAAGCAGATGCAGGAAGAAGCCGTTCTCTTCCTGTGCAGGTGTATTTTAACCATGCTCAAACGTGACTGGGCAGTGCTGCTGAAAGTGCAGACAGAGCTCAGGATGTCCCGCCCCCGACAGCGAGGATCGCAGGTGAGACTTACCGCTTCATCGGCCACCAGCAGAGGGTGCGTAGACTCCTCCCCCACCGACGGCAGCCGGGTGCTCGCCACAGACGGGTGACGACTGGAGGGGTGAGATGGTGCCTCGCCTACAGATGGGATCCGCGTGACACCGTTTGGCACAGACGGCACCGAGTAGCCGAGAGCTGCAGCCAG